TGTGAATTCTCTGATGAACAGTAAGAGATGAGCTCTGGGTAAAAGTTTTCTTACATTCATTACATTTGAAAAGTTTTTTTCCTGTGCAGATTCCTGTATGTTTTATCACCACTGTATTTTGGGGGAAACTTTTCTTAACTGAATCATGGTTATTAACTCTCTCATCTGAAACGTCCAAAGGGAACCATCTTCCAGATTTGTTATACGTATGCTCTCTTTCTTTAGAGAGGGTTTTGCTATTAGTGACTGTTTCTTGCCTGAATTGTGTCTCCCAGCCTACCAGCTTCCTTTCAAACACACCCTCAGAATCCCAATTTTCTCTGAAAGTTGAACATTCCAGATTAGTGCTTAAAGTTCTGTCTGTTAGCACATCAGCAAATAAATCCTGCTTTGGAAATAATTCCTGGGTCTCATGTACAGATTGTTGGCCTGAAACATATCAAGAAAACAAATATTTCCTTTATCATGGACTAGAAAAAAATATGCTAAAAAGAAAACTGTAAATGGATTCACTAAATGGTGAATTAAACCACATAAACAATGCATTTGTAAAAGCTATTGCATTTAAACATGCAGCCTACAATGTATATGAGAGACCCCAGACTGAATCCATACAGGAACCTCAGGAGACATGAGAAGAAAATATATATGTGGACTGGTTACATATCAAAAGAGTGGGAGTTGAAAAAAACGTTCTGCAATCACACCACCTAAAAATATACCCTATGACATTCGCTGACTTCAATTATTTCACTCTCTGTCTATCTGGCTTTGGATGCCACACAGTCATCACATCACAAAAGTTGTTCTAAGAAACAGGCCAAACGCACAAAAAGAGACTGCACTCTGTAACGTGCATTAAGAGTATCTGAAAGCCTGATTACTGCCCTATGACCAGGAAATGATGCTTCTGTAAACCATATTTTATTTGAATAATTTCAACAAAAGCAACATTACCAGTTGATGGCCAAAGCTCAGTAGTCCCATTGAATCATTTTTACATTTGTGAACCTATTTGTTTACTTCCCATGAGCCTGATAAAATCTTCGCTTCTTTCCTGGCCATTTAATAAGGATAGGGTCTTGCAATTTAATTTCTCATTTTGAGGAGATTGTTTTTATAATAATGGTGAGTCTTAATATTGTAATTAATTATGCTCAGATGTACTACTGAAAAAATATATGTTTTATTCCACACTTTCAGGTTATAGGGAGGAATGTATATATCTGAAATCCTTTTGCTAAATCAGTTAGCATATACCCAAAATTGTGCATATGTAGTTGTATCTTAATAAATATACATAGATGAAATTGGTATTGGGAGATGATGCAGAGAGACAAATGTCTGAAAAAAGATGATGGTAAGATAGGGAAAAGGAAATATTCTTTTTTTTAAAATATATATTTTATTGATTTTTTAATTGACTTTTTACAGAGGAAGAGAGAGGGAGAGAGAGTCAGAAACATCGATCAGCTGCTTCCTGCACACTCCCCACTGGGGATGTACATGTCCTTGACCAGAATCAAACCTGGGACCCTTGAGTCCGCAGGGCAATGAGAGAGAATCATTGATTGGCTGCCTCCTACACACCCCCTACTGGGGAACGAGCCTGCAACCCAGGCATGTGCCCTCGGCCGGAATAGAACCTGGGACCCTTCAGTCCACAGGCTGACGCTCTATCCACTGAGCCAAGCCGGCTAGGGCTATTCTTTTTTTAAATAATAAAAAAACACCGAAATCTTTCCTTCTTAAATCAAACCAAATAAGGATGCCTTTTTCACTACTTCTATTCAACACTGGTCCGGAAGTTCTAGCCAGAACAATTAGATATAGAAATAAAAGGCATCCAAATTTGCAGATGGTATGATCTCATATACAGAAAACACTAAAGAATTCACAAGCAAAGTGTCAGAGTTAATAGGCTAATTAATTAAAATTGCAGGTTACAAGAGCAACACACAAAAATCGCTACATTTGTATACACTCAGAATGAACACTATGAAAAGGAAATTATGAAAACAATTCCATAAAAAATAGCATTAAGCCCTAACCAGTTTGGCTCAGCGGATGGAGCATCGGCCTGTGAACTGAAAGGTCCCAGGTTCGATTCCGGTCAAGGGCATGTATCTTGGTTACGGGCACATCCCCAGTAGGGGGTGTGCAGGAGGAAGCTGATCGATGTTTCTCTCTCATCAATGTTTCTAACTCTCTATCCCTCTCCCTTCCTCTCTATAAGAAAATCAATAAAATATATTTTTTTAAAAATAGCATTAAAAGAAGAAATTAGTTAGGAATAAATTTACCCAAGGAGGTGCAAGACTGATGCTGAAAACTACAAAACATTGCTCAATAAAATTAAGAAGAGTTAAATAAATGGAAAGACATCCTGTGTTCATGGATAGGAAGACTCAACAATTTGTCATGGACAGGAAGAGAGCAAAAAACAAGTAAGTAAGCAACAGAAAGGAGAGCAAATGGAAAAAAGGGGGGAAAAAAGAAAGAAAAAGGAAACCAAGTATATTATTTAATATATCTACTAATAAAAAGAAAAACTATGGCCCTGACCGGTTTGGCTCAGCAGATAGAGCATCGGCCTGCGGACTCAAGGGTCCCAGGTTCGATTCCGGTCGGGGGCATGTACCTTGGTTGCGGGCACATCCCCAGTGGGGAGTGTGCAGGGGGCAGCTGATTGATGTTTCTCTCTCATTGATGTTTCTAACTCTCTATCCCTCTCCCTTCCTCTCTGTAAAAAAATCAATAAAATATATTTTAAAAAAAAGAAAGAAAAACTATGAGTAAAAGTGTTCAACAGAGTAAATGCTTCTATTAATGAAGATACCACCCAATTTAAACTACTGTACAGCAAGAAACATCATGCAAACTTAGAGACCACACAAAACTAAGAAAAAAAAATGTATCACATTCACCAAATAGGACTTATATTATATAAAGGCAAGGAATTAGAACCCAATAGAAACGTAGATAATGAGTATAAAGACACCATTAACAGAATCTGAACTCCAAATGAACTTAAATGCATACATTCTCAACATCACAAGCTTCTGGAAAGTAAATATTAAATAAAACTCAATTTTCATTCAACAGCTTGGCAAAAATGGAAGAAAACAAAACACACCAACCAACCAAATACTACTGGGGAGATGTTTCTCACCAATGGTTTAGCACTATACCCGTGAAACTTTAAAAACATGTGTACTTTACCATGCAAAGAGATCTGTGCAAACGGGACCACTTTTTAAAAACTGGAAAAGACCTAAATGTTCAAATGTCGTCAACAGTAAGTCAGGTAAGTGAACTGTATCTATATACTGTAATACTAGATAGCCATTAAAATAAAAAAAAACTACATGTATCAAGTTTCTAAAGACATAAACAGAAGGAGAAATTATAAAAGAATACATGAGACTATGTAAGAATTTCTGAAGTTTTACATTTTTAAAAGGTCTACTTAAAACAAAAACTCTTATTACCATACTAGAGGCCCGGTGCACAGGATTCGTGCATTGGTGGGGGGCCGTGGCCTGCGGAAATCGGCCCACTGTGGGAGCGCTACTCATCCCGGTCAGCCAAGCGGTGCTCCCACTGTGGGAGCACACTGACCACCAGGGGGCAGCTCCTGTGTTGAGCGTCTGCACCCTGGTGGTCAGTGCACGTCATAGCAACTGGTCAACCAGTCATTCTGGTCATTCTGCCGTTTGCGGGATTTTATTACATAGGATGTGAAAATAGTTTGAGACAGAACATCAAAAAACTAGTATGCTTTACAGAAAAGTCCCTGAGACTATAAAGGACATGAATAGATACGTGGGTGTAAATGAGAAACATTTTATAAAAGGATAAAGAGAATAACCAAATTCAGGGAAAGTATTCAAACGTTTTCATAATAAAAAAGTACCTTGTGGCCATAATGTTTCTTCAAATAATAAGTAAGCATTTTCATCAAGATACCCGATGTGCTGAGGACACAATGAAACCCACACTCCTGGTCATCGCTAGAGTTGCTGAAAGCAAAGCAGCTCTCAGAGCCTAGCAGACGTCCAGGTCCAGGAACACAGCGATCCCCAAAGCACCTGGTTTCCCCTTCCATAGGATGCTTATTGTACGCACACTTTCCATAACAATAGATGTGAAGTAACCTAACTGAGATGTGCAACATGGAGGGCGTGTGAAAGTATCTGTGTGCACGACTGACTGTGTGACACTACAATCCCCACTACGTTCAAAATACGTGTTTATCATGACTTGAAAGGGGTCAAAGTTGCTTTGATAACATATTGTGTTTACAGGGTCATCCAGACAGGTGATAGGATTACACTTTCTACAAACCATTATTTGTCAAAGAAATTTCTTCGCCTTCCCTTGTGTAGCAAACAAGGAGGAGACCCCCCACCACTGACGCCTTCTTGCCATCCGACTTCCGCCCACCCTGTCCAACTACAAGAACGCTACCGGGATCCCCTCCTTTGCCCCTGCAATGCCTTATGGGAAATTCTGCAATTTCTACCTCATGCCAGTTATCCATGAATATGTCTTATCCTCCCAGTATTAGAGTAACGGTCTGAGTAACGTACTCGCAAACTCCGTCTCTCTCCAACACCTGCCAATGCCAAGCAGAGTGGCCCCCTCAGTCAACTGTCGATTGGTGGTTCTCAGAGGAATGGACGCACATGAAGTGAATGGGCCTCTGACCGAGGAGGAGGAAACCTTTGGAAGGCAGCGCAAGAGCCCACGGGGCCAGGAAAGGTCACTTGAGGAACAGAGTGGCTGACGCACGTCCGAGTGGCCAGAAACACGAGGAGGGCTACCGACACAAGTCACCACCCAGAAGAGGAGGACAACTTTGAAGAGGCAGGCCTCAATTTTCCCTCCAGCCCAACAGGCCTGGGCAGCGTTGACCCCTGTGCCTTAGCAAGGACGCGGCCTCCAGGGCAGCTCCGCCTCCGAGGTGAAGGCTTTCCATGCCCGCCTCCCGCGCTCACCTGAGAAGAGGCCTCCCGCCAGCTCTCTCTTCGCCAGCCAGGGCTCCCTCCCGCGATGCAGCTGAGAAGGCCACTGCAGCCGGGACACACAGCGCCCTGCGTGGACAAGGACAGGGGTCCGTCACGCTCGTGGCCTCTGCAGAGCCAGCCCCTCGGCTCCGGGAGCAAAGGGTCAGCACAGGAGGAGCAGGAAGAAGAGTGAGGAGGCCCTGACAGCACAGAGCGCTTCACGCACAACGAAGACACCGGCTTTCCGCTCCACCAGCAGCAAACGCTCCTCAGAAACCGACAGCAACCTCAGCCCGACACCGCAGGGCGCCCACCACACGCACACACCTCAGCACCGAGGGGGTAAGTCAGGCTGGGAGCGACGCCTCACCTGCCTCCAGGTCCGGGCTCCCCTGCGTCACATCCTTAGGGAAACTCCCCTGGGCCGGGCCGGGCTGCTGCGAGGAGTCGCTGGCCACCCGCGTGCTGGTCGCCAAGCCCTGAAACGGCACAGACGGGCTGTGAAGCCATCCCCGTGACCCGCAGCGGCCTGGCGAGGCGCCGGGCCCACACCCTGGGAGAGACGTCTCCCCAGGAACCCTCGCTTAGCTCCCGAGTGACGCAGGTCGGGGGGCTGGACCGAGTGACAGCGCGTGCGTTTGGCGGGAGGGAGAAAACAGGAGAGCCTGCTCTGCGGTGGGAAATGTGTGATTCTGTGGAGGAGGATGAGCGCCCACAGCGTGGACTTCCTCCTGCGACTGAAGGCCGCCCCCCAGCTCGGGTATTGGGTGACTCGGGGGGCTTCCTCTCAGCTGAGAGGAAGGGGAGCGCCTGTTGCAGGGTCCCTCACAGCAGCACGTGCTGCCGTGTCCTGACTTAGCAGATGTTTGTGACTCATCGCACTGAAGTTCCCACTTTTCTGAGCATCACACCTGCTCGCTCCTTCTCCTGGGCGGAGCCTGTCTGCAGGCAGCGCTGCATTCAGAGGAGAGCTTCTCCCCTGGCCGGTGTGGCTCAGTGGGTAGAGCGTCAGCCTGCGGACTAAATGGTCCCGGGTTCAATTCCGGTCAAGGACACGTACCTTGGTTGCAGGCTCCTCCCCGGCCCAGGCCCTGGTCGGGGTGCGTGCAGGAGGCAACCAACCCATCGATGTGTCTCTCTCCCATCGCTGTTTCTGTCTGTCTTGCCCTCTCTTCTATTCTCCTTAAACACCAATGGGAAAACATCCTGGGGCAAGGATTAACCAAAACAGCAAAGGAGAGCGTGTCCCCCACTCACTGCGGGCACGGCCTCCTTCCTCCCATGCTGGTCTCCCTGGGTCTGAGGACTGCCCGCCTACACTGCTGAAACAGGAGGCTGTGCCTGGGAGCCCTCTGCTCTGCCTTCCTCAATGTCACCTCCTGCCAGCTGCCGCCAACACGCCCTCTGCACCCCATGCAAGGCCCCACTTACCAGCTGCCTCTCGAGCAGAGCCTCGCCATCACAGAGCTGCCCCTGCCCGGAGCCCTGCAGGCAGCAGCCGGCCCGTCTGTGCAGCAGCGCTGGTCTGGACAGCTGTTCCTCACACAGCCCCTCCTCCGCGGGCACAGCCTTCCCGCCTGAAAGACATCATGACAGGAGGCGGCGCTTGCACTGGGGGTCAGAGTGAAGAACACCCCACCGGGCAACCAGAGGACTCAATCCTCAGAGGAGCATCACTGTGAGAGCTGTTCCCTGATTAACCAACCTCACTGAGGTTCCCTCGCTTCTGGAGCTTTAACCCTGCACATGGTGAGCCTCCTCACCTCAATGCTGACACACCACGCTGTCAGCAGGGAGGGAGGGAGCACTGGGAGGTCAGCTCAGAGAGCTCACAGCCTGGCATCTAGGATGCAGTGTGGGGGGACAGACCAGCGGGAGGGAGGGAGCACTGGGAGGTCAGCTCAGAGAGCTCACAGAGGGCATCTGAGGTGCAGTGTAAGAGGACAGATCAGGGGGAGGGAGGCCACAGGAGGAAATGCCGTCTAATCCTTACTTGAGTTACTCAGCAACACTCACTGTGACTCTTTCTCCATTTTATTCAGCAAACACGTCTTCTCCAGCTCACTAGCCTCCTGCTTTATTACTAATAAAGTTAGTACTAATAAACATGGATGCTCAGTGGAACCCTTGCAGGAACACACCATCCTAGCCCTCCTGAGCCACATGGGGGCCCCCGTGAGCCACCGTAACATATGCCTCTGGGCCCCTGTCCTGTCAGCATCACCTGTTCCTCTGAAGTGTGAGCGGTAACAATTGTTTTTAAAAAGTCCATAAACCAGTCATTTCATCAAAGAGAAATAAGATAGTGAACATGACACCAGCGTCGGCCAAACATGCTTTAAAGACCTGAGAGGACCACGTGAGTCTGACCGTCAAGGGGCGGGAGGGAGCTAGGGAAGACGGCCGGAGCAGAGGAGTGTGGTTATGTTAGAGCAGTGGTTCTCAACCTTCCTAACGCCGCGACCCTTTAATACAGTTCCTCATGTTGTGACCCAACCATAAAATTATTTTCGTTGCTACTTCATCACTGTCATGTTGCTACTGTGATGAATCGTTATGTAAATATCTGATATGCAGGATGTATTTTCATTGTTACAAATTGAACATAATGAAAGCATAGTGATTAATCACAAAAGCAGTATGTAATTATGTATGTGTTTTCCGATGGTCTTAGGTGACCCCTGTGAAAGGGTCGTTCGACCACCAAAGGGGTCGCGACCCACAGGTTGAGAACCGCTGTGTTAGAGGGACGGGGCAAAGCTGGAGAGCAGCGACGGCAGATGAAAGCGCGGGGCGTCCATTCCAGGGGGACTTCCTTGCCCTCCAGGCCCCGAGCTCAGGAGCCTCCTGATGACCCCGCCTGCCTGAGGTGGCTGACCTGTGACCCCCAGTGAGCGGCCCCCACCTGGTCTCCCACGCTCACCTGGGCACCAGCCTCCTGTCTTGGCCATGCAGGGCTCTGTCCTCTGTTCCAAGGAGGAGATCACATCGGGCTTAGAGCGGCAGAGCCCTGAATGATAGAGAGAAGCGGGAGGTGGTCGTGCTATGAGGGGAGAGGGCTGGAGAGGGCGGCCCGCAGCGGACAGGGGAGGTGGGAGCGAGGGGGGGACCCGTACCCAGCGACACCAGGTTCCGGTAGTTCTCCAGCATCACGTCTCTGTACAGGGCCTTCTGGGCGCAGCTCAGCCGGCCCCACTCCTCCTGGGAGAAAGCGACGTCCACGTCCCCAAACGTCACTGCGATCTGGAAGGACAGACCACATGTCTGCTTGGCCCCTCATGACGGGGCTGCTATGGACTACATGGTGTCCCCCAGATTCAAAGGTGGAAGTGCTAACCCCAGGACGCCTCAGTGTGACTGCCTGTGGAGGCAGGGCCCTAGAAGAGGTGAGGAAAAGTGAAACGCGGTCACGTGGTCGGGCCCTAAGCAGTCTGACCCGTGTCCTCCTAAGAGGAGGAAGCAGTACCAGGAACGGGGGAGCAGAGGCGGCAGGAGGGGGGCCACCTGCATGCTGAGCAAGGAGGCCCCAGGAGAACCAACCCGGCGGACGCCTTGACCTTGAACTTGTGGCCACCGGAACCGTGAGAGAAGAAACGGCTGATGTGTAGGTGCCCCCGACCTGTGGTGCTTTGCCACGGAGCCCTCACAACCGGACCTGCCTGGGATCGAAGGATTGCCTTCTCTTGGTTCCAATGAGAGAATATACACACGAGGAATACTAGCTGGTGATCTGGAAATCTAGTGTCATGTCATCAACCCCAGAGAAAAGAGAGAGACACGGAGACCGCCCCTGCCCCGGGGGACTGGCTCATCTGTGTGGGTGAAAGGGGGTACAGGCAAGAAACAATTGTAAATGGCCCTGGCCGGTGTGGCTCAGTGGATAGAGCGTCGGCCTGCGGACTGAAGGGTCCCAGGTTCGATTCCGGTCAAGGGCATGTACCTGGGTTGCGGGCACATCTCCAGTAGGGAGTGTGCAGGAGGCAGCTGATCGATGTTTCTCTCTCATCCATGTTTCTAACTCTCTATCCCTCTCCCTTCCTCTCTGTAAAAAAAATCAATAAAATACATTTTTTTAAAAAAAATAAATGGAAAATACCCTCGGGTGAGGATAAAAAAAAAATGTTGAAAAACAAACAGATAATAAAATAAGTTTAAAAAAGAAGAAAAGCCGAAACCGGTTTGGCTCAGTGGATAGAGAGTCAGCCTGCGGACTGAAGGGTCCCAGGTTCGATTCCGGCCAAGGGCATGTACCTGGGTTGCAGGCACATCCCCAGTGGGGAGTGTGCAGGAGGCAGCTGATTAATGTTTCTCTCACATCGATGTTTCTAACTCTCTATCCCTCTCCCTTCCTCTCTGTAAAAAACCAATAAAATATATTTTTAAAAAGAAGAAGAAAAAAATAAAGTACAGCATGGAGAACAGTCAATAATATTATAACAACTATGTATGGTGTGTGTGTGTGTGGGGGGGCATTTTGTAAATTACATAAATGCCTAATCCCTGCACTGTACACCTGAAAGTAATATGATAAGAGTACGTCATCTGTCACTGAAAAATAGAGTGAAAAATTGACCTCAACAATTAAAAAAAATAAACACTACGCCAGTGATGGCGAACCTATGACACGCGACCTCATTTTTTTTGGTTGATTTTTCTTTGTTCAATGGCATTTAAACATATAAAATAAATATCAAAAATATAAATCTTTGTTTGACTACGGTTGCAAATATCAAAAAATTTCTATAGGTGACACAGGGCAGCAGAGCGAAGTGAGGGTTTTTCCAAATGCTGACACGCGGAGCTCAGAAGGTTCGCCGTCACTGCGCTACCTCGCAGTCCAGAAAAGCAAGGGTGCGCTTCAGCGAGGAAGCAGGACCTGTGAACTCACCTGGGAGGTGACTCGGGGGCCATTTCCTGTCCCTACAGCCTCCGGCGGGAGCCCCCTCGGCGGGAGAAGGGCGGGGTCCCCGGAAGGCGGAGCTGGGGGGCGGGGAGGGGGAGAGAGAGGAGCGGTCAGGTCTACAAGGTCCCGAATCACCGGCCCGCACACGCTGGGTCCCGGGGGCGCCCTCCCCCAGCCGCGGGCGGAAAGGGCTCCCGCTGGCTCAGGGGTTGAGCGCGGACCTAGGAACCAGGAGGTCAGGGTTCGATTCCCGGTCAGGGCGCAGGCCCGGGTGGTGGGCCCGATCCCCAGTGGGGGCCGTGCAGAGGCAGCCGATCTCATCGATGTTTCTAACTCTCTATCCCTCTCCCTTCCTCTCGGTGAAAACTCAATAAAATATGTTTAAAAAACAAACAAAACGGCTTCCTCAGGTGGAGAACCCACCAGCAGCATGAGGCCGGCTGTGCGGGGGCCGTTCCTCCCCCGGCGGCCACGGGCGGGGCGGGGTGTCCGTCCCCCGGAGCACGGGAACGGGGTGCCTGGCGAGGTGTCCCCGGGGCCAGCCCCGTCCCCCCGCACCCACGCGGCCGCTGCTCGGACTCCCGCTCACCGCCCAGACCTCAGGGTCCCGCCCCCGAGGGGATGATGGCGGCCCCGGCCACCCCGCCCGGCCCCCGCCGCCCCCTCACCTCCGTCCTCCGGCCCCGGGGTCGCCACTCGTCGCCGGCCCGGGGAGGCGAGGCCGTTCCGGGAGCGCGGCCTGCCCGGGCCCCGGCGCACCAGGGGGGCCGGGGTCGCCGCCGCCGTCGGGCCGCGACCGGGACCGGGCTTTGTGCGGGGGACGCCGCCCCGAGCCGTCCTCGCCGCCCCCCGCATGGCCCCGCGGACACACCCGCCCACTCGCGGCTCCACCGGCCACAGCGGCACCGACCCCGCCTCTGCCCCCGCCCAGCCCACCACCACGCACGGCACGCAAGAATCAACAGCGCGACGTCGCCGGAAGTGGGCGTGTCCTCCTCCGCTGGGCCCTCTGGGAAATGTAGTCCCGCGAGGTGGCAAAGGCCACGAGCAGAATGCAGACAGACGGGGAAGTCCAACTCGGGGTGGCATGACCTCCTTCGGTGACCCGCCCCCTCAGGGCCGGCTGGGCCGGGCCAGACCGGAACCATAGGGCACCCCGAGTGACAGAGCCGCGCCCCTGGGATTCTGGGGTCCGTGCCTAGTTGGGGCAGTTGCTAGGCTGGGCGGCCAGGAGAATGGACACAAGGCGGGGCTGAGCAGGTAGGGGTGGGGGGCTCAGGCCTCCATCGGGGTGTGGCTGTCGACAGAATGGGGAACAGGGACGCTGGGCAACGCAGGGACTCTGATGGCTTGATCCCCAGTGGGAGCGTGCAGGGGGCAGTGGATCAATGATTCTCTCTCGTCACTGATGATTCTCATCCTCTCTCTCTCTCTCCCTTCTTCTCTGAAATCAATTTTTAAAAAGTGCAGTGCTAATCGTTTGGCTCAGTGGATGGAGCGTCCGCCTGCGGACTCAAGGGTCCCGGGTTCGATTCTGACAAAGGGTATGTGCCTTGGTTGTGGGCACATCCTCAGTAGGGCGTGTGCAGGAGGCAGCTGATCGATATTTCTCTGTCATCGATGTTTCTAACTCTATCCCTTTCTTTCCCTTCCTCTCGGTAAAAAAAAAATCAGTAAAAAAAAAAATAAAAATAAAAATAAATATATATATATATATATATATATATATATATATATATATAATCTTATTTTAAAAAAATAAAATAAAATAAAAATTTAAAAAATGCATTTAAAAAAAATTATTAATATGTTTGGCTTGTAGGTTTGTCCATATTTTTCTTTCATATCCAGGTTGGGGTTTCTGTACCTAAACCACAAAGAAGCATGCCCATGGGGCGCTGTGTTCCACGGTGCTGTCTGAAATAACATTCTGTGTTTATTTGCTTGTGTATCATCTAACTCCCCTGCTAAAAATGTGTGCTCTGTGGGAATACTTCTGTTCGTCTTACTTCTGTTTACAACGGCTCCTGGCACAGAGCGAGTAACTCAATCAATACTAGTAGACGTGGAATGGATGCATTTTTAAAAAATATATATTTTATTGACTTCAGAGAGGGAAAGATAGAAACATCAATGACGAGAGAGAATCATCCATCGGTACGCCCCCAACTGGGGATCGAGCCCGCAGCCCGGGCATGTGCCCTTGACTGGAATCGAACCCGTGGACCTTTCAGTCCCCAGGCTGACGCTCTATCCACTGAGCCAGACCAGCTAAACTTTTTTTAAAAATACATTTTATTGATTTTTTACAGAGAGGAAGGGAGAGGGATAGAGAGTTAGAAACATCGATCAGCTGCCTCCTCTACACCCCCCACTGGGGATGTGCCCCCAACCAAGGTACATGCCCTTGACCGGAATCAAACCTGGGACCCTTCAGTCTGCAGGCCGACGCTCTATCCACTGAGCCAAACCAGCTGGGGCTGAACTTTTTTTAAGTGGTCGTGTTTTATGCCTGTCGTGTAAAATGCCCACCAAAAATCAGAGGAGCTTGTCCTATTCTGAGATTTCCACATGTAGAGGCGTTCCCTGTCCCCTCTAGGGTGATCTAATGAAATCCTAGGATCAAAGAGAAAAAGGAAGAAGGGAGGGAGGGGGGAGGGAGGGAGGAAAAAAGAGAAAATAACATATTGGTGAAAACCACCATTCCCGGTGCTCAGAGGCTGTTTCCTGATGCAGCAGCGCCACCGTGTGGACAGAAGCACCAACTACAACAGTTCAATGTCCTGGAAACAGAGACTCCCCTATTCTCCTTCCCCCTGTCATCCCCGCTCAAGGGCAAGTCAGCTTAGACTGAATGATTAGAAATCAAGGGACCCAGCCCTAACCGGTGTGGCTCAGTGGATAGAGCATCGGCCTGTAGACTGAAGGGTCCCAGGTTCGATTCCGGTCAAGGGCATGTACCTTGGTCGCGGGCACATCCCCAGTGGGGAGTGTGCAGGAGGCAGCTGATCCATGTTTCTCTCTCATCGATGTTTCTAACTCTCTATCCCTCTCCTTTCCTCTCTGTAAAAAATCAATAATATATATATATTTTTTAAATTAAAGGACCCAAAAGGCCTTGCTGGTCAAATGAAAATACTAGTATATTCAGGGGTGAGTGGCAGTCAAGTTCTACATGAAAGAGTGAGAGCTACCCTTTCAGGAAAATTTTACCCCTTTCTCTGCCTCCTAAAGAGCTACTATCTCAATGGGGCCTTTATTATAATTTTTTTTAAGGTTCCCCTGAAATGCCTGGACCCGATTCCTTGTGTTTCGGCCAAGACGAAAGCTGATGTTGTCTGCCGATGGAGGCAGCTACCCAGACCCATGCAGTTAGGGTCAGGGGCAGAGTAGGGCTGGACAGAGTCACATCAGCCTTGCCTCAGACCAGACCTTACAAAACACCAACACTAGTTTCCTGGAAACACCAAGGCTGGTTCGGTTAAGAGCCAGTGATGCGAGAAGGCCTTTCTTTTTTTTCTTTTTTCTTTTTAAAACATATTTTATTGATTTTGTACAGAGAGGAAGGGAGAGGGATAGAGAGTTAGAAATATTGGTGAGAGAGAAACATAGATCAGCTGCCTCCTGCACACCTCCTATTGGGGATGTGCCTGCAACCAAGGTACATGCCCTTGAGTGGAATTGAACCTGGGACCCTTCAGTCCGCAGGCTACGCTCTATCCACTGAGCCAAACCAGTTAGGGTGAGAAGGCCTTTCTTTTTTTTTTTTTTCTTTTTTTTTTATATTTTAAAAACTATTTTTATTGTGAAATATAGCATACATACAGAAAAGCATACAAAAAATGTACAGATCACTGATTTTTCATTTTGTCAGTCTAGAAAGTGGCCATATAATTTCAGAGTCCCTCTACTCCCAAAGATAGTTACTATCTTGATTTTCATAATAATCACTTTCATTAAGAAGAAATTTACAAGCCACAGAGTAGAGAAGGCCTTTCTTAATGGGAGAAGTCTTAGGCCAGCTTTGTGAAATTGCCTAAGTTCTTTTTTAATATATATTGATTTCAGAGAGGAAGGGAGGAGAGAGAGAAATATCAATGGTGAGAGAGAATCATTGTTCAGCTGCCTCCTGCATGCCCCCTACTGGGGATGGAGCCCACTACCCAGGCATGTGCCCTGACCGGGAATGGAACCATGACCCCCTGGTTCATAGGTTGATGCTCAACGTCTGAGCCACACCAGCCAGGCTCTAAGTTCTTTTTTTTAAAGTGTAGAAACTTGCAACCATTTTACATTTGAGTGGGGGAATTGGGACAGGCTCCCATAAACCTTGTGCAAAGTAGGAACTATCATTAGAGGGCTCAGGGTAGGTGGTTTTGATATGCGGGAGTCAATGTGGTGTTTACTTTCTAAACTTGGTCACAGTTGATAAAAAGTAAAGCAATGAGACCTGGCCAGGTGGCTCTGTTGTAACATCGTCCCATAAGCCAAAAGGTTTTGGAGTTGATTGCTGGTTGGGGCACATAGGTGAGTTTTGGGTTCAATGCCCAGTCGGGCACATGTGGGAGGCAACCAATCAATGTTTCTCCCTCTTTCCCTCCCTCCCTAAAAATAATTAAAATCATATCCTTTTGTGAGGAAATGAGGCACATTTGTGATGTTATCAAGGAGCCACTTGCGTTGGGGTGTAGTTTGAAATGGGTAACTGAGTCTCTGTGTGGATGAAACCCAAGATCAGAGATGAATGTGTACTTCATATGTAACAGGGTGATAGAGCCTTAGCAATGGAAGGAATTGGTTACCTATGGAAAGTGTCGGATTGATTAGTTGGTAGTAAGAGAAATAAGAAACTTTTCCACTCCAGTTCCAAGGTGACATTTTAGTTCACACTTTAAAAAAGGGAAACATCCAAATTCCACATTGTATGTTCATGTGGTTTTTAAGGTATGATTACAATAATTACTTAATTTTAGAGATAGGGAGAAGCATCCATTTGTTGTCCCACGTATTTATGCATTCATTGGTTGAATCTTGTAGGTGCCCTGACCGGGGATTGGACCCGCAACCTTGGCGTATGGGACAATGCTCCAATCAACAGAGTTACCCCGGCCAGGCGGCGAACTTATCTTCAGGGCCAGAGAGCAAAGGCAGGCTTTGTGACTAGTCCTCCTCCAACCACTCAGCTCTGCCGGTTGTAGACAATAACTAAATAAATGAGCATGGCTGTGTCCCAATAAAACTTTATTTATAAAAACAGGCAGTAGGCCAGACTTGGTTTGTTGACCATTATACCTGGCAGAATTGGATATTACATAATGATAAATGGTATGGTTCATAAATAGAGCTTAAGTAACAAACATAAATTAAAAAGTAAAAATTTCTGGAAATTCATGATCTTGATAAAAAAAAAAGTTCAATTTTAGGGAATTCTGAAACAATATTTCAAATAATACAAGACCAGGGAAAATTTATCACTATAACTTACAGGCATAAATAAATAGAATCTTATGTCACACACACACACACACACACACACACGCACACACAAAGCCCTAGCCAGTTTGGCTCAGTGGACAGAGCATAGAGCGTCAGCCTGTGGACTGAAGGGGCTTGGGTTCCATTGCATCAGGGCACATACCTTGGTCAGGGTGCCTGCGGGAGGCAACCAATCAGTGAGTCTCTCTCACATCAATTTTTTTGTATCTTTCCTCCTGCTTTCCACTCTCTCTAAAAAGCAATGGAGCCCTAACAGGTTTGGCTCAGTGGGTAGAGCGTCGGCCTGCGGACTGAAAGGCCCCAGGTTCGATTCCGGTCAAGGGCATGTACCTTGGTTGCAGGCACATCCCCAGTAGGTGGTGTGCAGGAGGCAGCTGATCGATGTTTTTAACTCTCTATCCCTCTCCCTTCCTCTTTGTAAAAAATCAATAAAATATATTTTTTTTAAAAAAAGCAATGGAAAAATATCCTTGGGTAAGGATTAACAATAAATGTGTGTGTATGTGTGTGTGTTATGAGTGTTATGAAATATGCAGAAATCAACTCGTACTTAGCCATAAAGAAAAATGTCAAAATTTAAAAAGTAGGTATTGACTTCTAGGCCACAGTTACCCATCAACTTTAGCAGAAAAAGTTTCTCTTCCTCACAGAACAAGGCATCAAAGTCTCAGAACTGGTCTCCTTGCCCAGTGTTGCCAGGGCTGTTGAGTCAGCTTCTCTGTTTTGTCTCTTGGTCCCAAGATGGCTGCAGTAGCTCTGGGCGTCATGTCTCAGAGGAAAATGTCTAAGAGCAGAAGTGAGAGGAGAGGGAGTCTTCCTAATACCTGTCTCTTCTGAAGGAGGAGAATCCTTCCCAAGACCCATAGGCCCCTGGAATAGACAGACCATCCTGAGCTGCAGAGGCTGAAAATCGGCACCTGACACCTTCAGATTCTAAGGCCAAGACACAGATGGGCCAATAGGAAGGGGAAATGAGTATGGCTATTAGGCAGGCCACCAACCCCTCCGTCCGTGACAGAAGGTATAAAAATAACCCCAAACAATCAAATGAGGTGGGAACTAAGACACCATCGCCTAAAATTAGTTTACTCCAGGGTCAGGAAGAAATAAAAACTCACACTATTGTAAGACGACCATTTTCTACTTCATCCTCTTGTAATAATTTGTTCCTTCATCATAGTTATGTTTGTTGTCCTCTCTTCTGGCTTCTTGAATAGTACAGTTAATATATTTGAGTATAATCTTACAGGTTTTCATGTCTCACAACATTTAAAGTCTGCTGGGATGTAAAAAAACTCTCATTGTCATCCTTTAAAAAAATTTGAGAGAAACATGGATTCACCCCCCACTCATTTATGCATTCATTAGTTGATTCTTGTATGTGTCCTGAGGGGATCGAACCTGAAACCTTGGCTTATCGAGACAATGCTCCACCCAATTGAGCGACCTGGCCAACCTCTTATTGCCATTTTTCTCTTTGCCATTTATTATAACTGCAAGATTTATTTCCTTGTGAACTCAAGAGTCATTTGGCTGTTTCCTTTTTCTTTTCTTTTCAGTTTCCAATACAATTTAAACCTTTGGCTAATGTTAAAATTATTACACGGGTAGTTAGAAAAGGTGAATCAAGAATGTATGAGAGACAAAACGTTTTCCAAAATTTCCCTGCTTCATTGATAATCACGATCTAAACAATTTATACCCATAAAAAAATGTTCTTCAGTATGAAATTTATGAGTCGGGAGGAAGGACAACTCTGAATGAAGGCATTCTGGCTTGTTGTATTCTTCGTCTTTCTGCAAGATGAAAGGAGGAAGCTGTGATCAGCCTGAGCCAATGGGGTCTCCTCATTCATGGACTGCATGACTAGCCTAGGCCAATGGGCTCTCCCTATTATTTCCATTCATCGATTGCATGACTAACCTAAGCCAATGGGGTCTCCTTATTACTTCCATTCATGGACTGCATGACTAGCCTAGGCCAATGGGCTCTCCCTATTATTTCCATTCATCGATTGCATGACTAACCTAAGCCAATGGGGTCTCCTTATTACTTCCATTCATGGACTGCATGACTAGCCTAGGCCAATGGGCTCTCCCTATTATTTCCATTCATCGATTGCATGACTAACCTAAGCCAATGGGGTCTCCTTATTACTTCCATTCATGGACTGCATGACTAGCCTAGGCCAATGGGCTCTCCCTATTACTTCCATTCATCGATTGCATGACTAGCCTAAGCCAATGGGGTCTCCTTATTACTTCCATTCATGGACTGCATGACTAGCCTAGGCCAATGGGCTCTCCCCATTACTTCCATTCATCGATTGCATGACTAGCCTAAGCCAATGGGGTCTCCTTATTACTTCCATTCATGGACTGCATGACTAGCCTAGGCCAATGAGCTCTCCCCATTACTTCCATTCATCGATTGCATGACTAGCCTAAGCCAATGGGCTCTCTCCATTACTTCCATTCATGGATTGCATGATTAGCCTAAGCCAATGGGGTCTCCTCATTACTTCCATTCATGGATTGCATGACTAGCCTAGGCCAATGGGCTCTCCCTATTACTTGCATTTATCGATTGCATGATTAGCCTAAGCCAATGGGCTCTCCCTATTACTTGCATTTATCGATTGCATGATTAGCCTAAGCCAATGGGCTCTCCCTATTACTTGCATTTATCGATTGCATGATTAGCCTAAGCCAATGGGCTCTCCCCATTACTTCCATTCATGGATTGCATGACTAGCCTAAGCCAATGGGCTCGCCCCATTACTTTCATTCATGGATTGTATGATTAGCCTAAGCCAATGGGCTCTCTCCATTACTTCCATTCATGGATTGCATGACTAGCCTAAGCCAATGAGCTCTCTCCATTACTTCCATTCATGGATGCATGACTAGCCTAAGCCAATGGGCTCTCTCCATTACTTCCATTCATGGATTGCATGATTAGCCTAAGCCAATGGGGTCTCCTCATTACTTCCATTCATGGATTGCATGACTAGCCTAGGCCAATGGGCTCTCCCCATTACTTCCATTCATGGATGCATGACTAGCCTAAGCCAATGGGCTCTCTCCATTACTTCCATTCATGGATTGCATGACTAGCCTAAGCCAATGGGCTCTCTCCATTACTTCCATTCATGGATGCATGACTAGCCTAAGCCAATGGGCTCTCCCCATTACTTCCATTCATGGATTGCATGACTAGCCTAAGCCAATGGGGTCTCATTAGTTCCATTCATGGATTGCATGACTAGCCTAAGCCAATGGGCTCTCCCCATTACTTCCATTCATGGATTGCATGATTAGCCTAAGCCAATGGGGTCTCATTAGTTCCATTCATGGATTGCATGACTAGCCTAAGTCAATGGGCTCTCCCCATTACTTCCATTCATGGATTGCATGACTAGCCTAAGCCAATGGGGTCTCCTCATTAGTTCCATTCATCCATTGCATGACTAGCTTAAGCCAATGGGGTCTCCTCATTAGTTCCATTCATCGATTGCATGACTAACCTAAGCCAATGGGGTCTCCTCATTACTTCCATTCATGGATTGTATGATTAGCCTAAGCCAATGGGGTCTCCTCATTACTTCCATTCATCGATTGCATGACTAGCCTAAGCCAATGGGGTCTCCTCATTACTTCCATTCATCGATTGCATGACTAGCCTAAGCCAATGGGGTCTCCTCATTAGTTCCATTCATCCATTGCATGACTAGCCTAGGCCAATGGGCTCTCCCCATTACTTCCATTCCTATGGCTGCTTGCTAACATAAGTTCTCTGATGATCAGCAAGGGGTAAGCGCTGATGGAAGGCTTCTCTACGTTTATCACATTCACCTGTGTTTCTCTACTTTGCCTTCTCCGATGTCGAAGAGTAGCGGGACCACGATCGAAAGTCCTCCCCCCTTCCTTACAGTCATAGGGCTTCTCCTCGGTGTGAACGACCTGATGCTGAGTCAGCTGGGAGCCGTGGCTGAAGGCCTTCCCACAGGCCTGGCACACGTAGGGTTTCTCCCCCGTGTGGATCCTGTAATGCACGGCGAGGTGCGAGACCCGCTTGAAAGCCCTCCCGCACGCCTTGCACGGGTACGGCTTCTCTCCCGTGTGGATTCTCTGGTGTTGCTTCAGCTGTGAGCTCACCCGGAACGCCTTCCCGCAGGCCTGACATTCGTAGGGCTTCTCACCCGTGTGGATTCTCTGATGCCGGATGAGCGTGGAGCCCTGATTGAAGGCCTTCCCGCAGTCCTTACACTCATAGAGCTTCTTGCCAGTGTGAAGAGCCTGGTGTTGGATCAGCTGGGACCGGTGGCTGAAGGTCTTCCCGCATTCCTTGCAGGCGTAGGGCTTCTCCCCCGTGTGAATCCTACCGTGGACTTTCAGATGCGAGATCCGATTGAAGGCCTTCCCACACTCTTTGCACTGATAGGGCTTCTCGCCGGTATGAATGCGTTGATGTTCGATCAGCTGGGAGCTCCGGCCGAAGGCCCTGGCGCAGTCCTGACACGCGTAAGGCTTCTCGCCGGTGTGGACCCGCTGGTGCTGAATGAAGTTTGAACCCGAGTTGAAGGCCTTCCCACACTCCTTGCACTCGTAGGGTTTCTTGCCAGAATGAATGTTCTCGTGCTGAACCAGGCGCGAGCCGTACTTGAAGGCCTTCCCGCACTCCTTACACTGATAGGGTTTCTCGCTGGTGTGGATTCCCTGGCGGCGAATGAGGAAGTCCTCTGGCCAGAAGGCTTCCCTACATGCGTCATATCCATAGGGCTCGTCCCCTGGATGGACTTTCCCACAGAAAGTAAGGGATGCCTGCGGGCTGAGAGGGGGCATTTCTTCAGGCCTGACGATCACGTGGCTCAGACGTTCATCTGGATCCCCCCGCTGTCCGTCAAACTGGCTTCCGCACTCCCAGTCGTCTGGGAGACTCGAGGACTTGAGACCATAACTTGGAAGGCTTTCCGGTCTCGCCCACCGGGTCGCGTGTCCTTCACAAACAGGCTGCTCTGGAGGTGACACCTTAGTCTCAGACCTGGCCTCTGAGGCTGAAAAAGAACGAAAGAGCAAGTATGCTTCTTGTTTTTTTCCTTTTGCAGAAAAGAGGACTTGTCTAGTAAAAACTGAAGATAATGCCAACAAGCTCCTGAATGTGGCTACTGAGGAACTGGGCAAATCGTACGGAGAAAGAGGAAATGCCATAAATGAGAAGAGTGAGGTAATCAAGAAGGTTGTAAGAGTAGTGCTTGGAAATGGCCTCTCTCTCTCTCTCTCTCTCTCTCTCTCTCTCTCTCTCTCTCTCTCTATATATATATATATATATAAAAATAATTAATTTTTCCTCCTTACCCAAGGATATATTTTCATTGACTTGAGAGAGAGAGGAAGGGAAACATTGACTGGTTGCCTCCCATACGTGCCCAACCAGGGATCGAACCCAGTACCTAGGTATGTGCCCTGACTGGGGATCACACCCAAAACCCTGGCGCATTGGGACGACGCTCTAACCAACTGAGCTACCCGGCCAAGGCCTAGACACAGTATTTTACAGTTAATTATTTGGACAACCGAAGAAATAATGTCTAAAAATCTTATGTATCGTCTTAGCATTAAATGCTCTGGTTTCCTCATACGGAACTTGAGGGATCTCAAATAGCCAAACCATCTTGAAAAGGAAGAACAAAGGTCTCACACTTCCTGACTTCAAAACATATGACAAAGCTACAGTAATTAAAACAGTGTGGCACTGGCCTAAAGGCAGATATGCAGACCACGGAACAAAAGAAAGAGCCCCAAAATAAAACCCTCACGCGTGTGGTCGGATGCTCTTTGACACGGGTGCCAAGACCACACAATGAAGAAAGGACAGTGTTTTCCATAAATGGTGCTGAGGAACTTGGATATCAACATACAAAAGAATGAAGCAAGACCCTTACCTCACACCAAATACAAACATTAACTCAACATGAATAGAAGACCTACACAGGACCTAAAACTATAAAGCTCCTAGAAGAAAACAGAGGGGAAAGCTTTATGACACTGCATTTGGTAATACTCTCTTGGAGATGGCACCAAAAGCACAGGCAATAAAAGCAAAAATATACAAATGGGATGACATCAAACTTAATAACTGGGCATCAAAGGAAACAACAGCGTGAACAGGCAACGTACAGAATGGAAGAAAATATTTGCAAATCATATATCTGATAACGGGTTCATATCCAGACTATATAAAGAAACCCCACAACTCAATGACAAAAGCAACCCATCCCGATGAAAAAATGGGCAAAGGACTTAAACATACAGTTTTCCAAAGAAGATACACAAATGGTCAATAAGCATATGAAAAGATGCTCAACATCACCAATTGCTAGACAAATCCAAACAGAAACTATGATATCCTACCTCGTGGCTACGAGGACGGCCACTATTGAAAAAGAAGAAAAACACACCAAAGAACACAGTCACAAGAGCTGGCACGGATGTGGAAAAATGGGAGCCCTCATGCCCTGCTGGTGGGAACGTACGATGGGCAGTCACGTTGGGAAACAGTATGGAGGTTACTAAAAAAATGAAATCCCTACTAGGGATTGGGCCTACAACCCAGGCATGTGCCCTTGACCGGGAATCGAACCGTGACCTCCTGGTTCATAGGTCGACGCTCAACCACTGAGCCACGCCGGCCGGGCTCACTGTAATTCATTTAAATGTCAATGGCCGTGTGGCACCAGCCGCGCCATCCTGGAGAGCCCAGCATGGGTGGTATTCAGCCTGGCAGCGGAGAAGGTCCTGGGAAGGGAGATGAACAGGAAGGAACAGGCCGAGTCTGAGCCAGAAACCTAGAGACAGTGAGAGGACCCACCACAGGGGGGCTGAGGGGGCTAGAAAGGTGACAGGGGCAAGAGGCAGGAGATGCTCCAGGCAGGAGCATCTGTCAAGTGCTGCTGACAAGCCACCGAAGGTACCTCCTCAGCCTGACCTCTGAGCTTGGCGACTCAGAGGAACTATTTTCCACTTCAAAGGACCGGCTTCCTCCCCCGCTGCTGGACGGTTACCTGCGCTGGCTTCCCTCCTCCCGCAAGCGCCTCACTCACCGGGGCACAGGCCTCCTGCCGCTGCCTCCTCCGCCCTCCAGGGCTCCTTGCCTTGCTCCAGGAAGGCGATCACATCAGGCTTGGAAATGGCGAGATCTGGATGTGAGAAAAGACACGACGCCTGGTGATGGTGCGGCCCCAGAGCTCAGGCCCAGGACCTGGTCATCCAGGATGAGAGGTCATAGTGGGAAGGCACAGGGGACGACCTGACAGTCACCCAAGGCCTGGCGACAACGTAGCTTCAGCCCAGGGAGCTGCCCTTTAACCCCTCACACTGACAAGGCAGGAACACCTCCACCCACGGGTCCCCTCCGACCTACCGGACCAGGCGCCCTTACCCAGCGAGCGCAGGTTGCTGTAGGTCTCCAGCATCACGTCCCTGTACAGGTCCCTCTGAGCAGGCGCCAGCCACTCCCATTCTTCCCGGGAGAAGACGACGGCCACATCCCTGAACAGGTCTGACCCCTGCAACAACGGGCAGGTGTGTTACATGCGAACCTCACGGGAACCTCTCTCGGTGGGAGGAGAGGAGGTGGAGGGAGTCTTTGCAGGAAAAGGCTGCAGCTGGGGCCTCTGAAGCGAGCAGATGACGGGAGAACACGGGTGGGAGTTCAATGTTCTTTTTTTTTTAATTTTTATTTTTTTTCCCAAAAATATATTTTATTGATTTTTTACAGAGAGGAAGGGAGAGGGAGAGAGAGTTAGAAACATCAATGAGAGAGAAACATTGATCAGCCGCCTCCTGCACACTCCCTACTGGGGAGGTGCCCGCAACCAAGGTACATGCCCCCGACCGGAATAGAACCTGGGACCTTTCAGTCCGCAGGCCGACGCTCTATCCACTGAGCCAAACTGGTTAGGCAATGTTCTTTTTTTAAAAACTATTTTCTTTTTTGTGTTTTTTAAAAAAATATATTTTTATTGATTTCAGAGAGGAAGGGAGAGGGAGAGATAGAAACATCAATGACGAGAGAGAATCATGGATCAGCTGCCCCCTGCATGCCCCTATTGGGGATCAAGCCCGCAACCCGGGCATGTGCCCTGACTAGAATGGAACCCAGGACCCTTCAGTCCAGGACAATGCTCTATCCACTGAGCCACACCAGTGAGGGCCTAATATGTTTGTTTTTTTTTAAAAGAATAGTTTTGAGGCCTAACCGGTTTGCCTCAGTGGAGAGAGTGTCGGCCTGTGGACTGAAGGGTCCCAGGTTCGATTCTGGTCAAGGGCATGTACCTTGGTTGCGGGCACATCCCCAGTAGAGGGTGTGCAGGAGGCAGCTGATCGATGTTTCTCTCTCATCGATGTTTCTAACTCTCTATTCCTCTCCCTTCCTCTCTGTAAAAAAAAATCAATAAAATATATTTAAAAAGATAGTTTTGATATTTAGAGAGAGAGGAAGGGAGAGGGAATGAGAGATACGTCAGTTGGCTGTCCCCTACTGGGGATCAAGCATGCAACCCTCGCATGTGCCCTTGACCAGAATGGAACCCGGGACCCTTCAGTCCGCAGGCCAACACTCTACCCACTGAACCACACCAGCTGGGGTTTAAATGTTCTTGGACGTTCTTTTTTACTACACACCAAAGCTCTGGTACACAGATCTGGGGTGAAAATTAAAATCCAGCTGCGTGGAGTGTTCCCAACGGTGACTTACTCTGACCCTGGCACATACTAAATTCTCCAGGGGCGACCCAGAACTCCTACTTCGATGGAGTCAAAGAAAAATAAACCCAAACCAAGAATTTTTTGCTAGAAGAGGGAACCGGGAGAGGACACAGGCGAACCGGTCTTTTCACTCCTGAGAACAAGAAGCTCTGAGCACCGGAGTCTCTGGGACGGAGCACAGGTGGGAAGGAAGCGCTGGGAACAGGAAAGCGAGTGTTTACAGGATCTAGAAACTCACCATGGACATGACGTCCGGAAAGTCATGGGCTGAGGGGTCCTCCTCCCGGCTCCTCTCGGGGAAGGCCAGAGTCCTGAGGGGGGAGAGCTGGGGGAGAAAACAGCAAACGTGAGAGACCAGGCTTGCCTGGCAGCTCCCAGGACGCCCTGGTTACAAGTCCCCATCCCGTTCACCCCACCCTCCCGACCAATCCGAGGGAGACGGGACAAACTGGGGCCCTCAACCAACTCCACGAGACCCCCAGCTCCAGTGGCTGCGAGGACACAGGGACCCAGTGGCCTTTCTCTCCTGTTTCCCCGAAACAGCCCGAGAACGTCACTGGTGCAAATCCGAGATGGGGATGCTCAGACCCGGCCCAGTGACTAAGACCATGGATATCCCACAGACAAGGAAGCTTGGCCTCAGGCCAGAGGAAGCCCAGAGAGCTGGCCTGATCCGGATCTGCCCAGCCAAGAATCAAGTCTTCCCCAAAACCAGACCATCCGACTCTCATGCTCACAATGGAACACCTTCAGAAGTCTCGTGGGCACTTCCCCCAACTTCCAAGTTCACAAAGAGCCCACAGCCTTACTGAAGGCCCGGTGGACACCACGCCGTGGGCCCTACCTTGAGTCCACAGATGGAGTGTGGGTGCGGGAGGCCAGTTAGATGAAGCAGGTCCCATGCTCCATGATCAGCTCAGAGAGGCTGCTGCACAGACATCACAGCGTGAGAAGCTGTGTGAACACAAACAGCTGCTGGAAAACAGAACCGAAAATTAGCTCAGAACAGGCCACAAGGAAGCAAGTGATCGGGTCAATCCGGGCCCAGCCAGATGGTCGATGCCCACAGAAAACTGTCGGGAGCAGCTCTAGGGTCAAGCCTGGGGCTGAGCTGTGGCAGGGCCACGAACAAGTCCCAGCCTGGAGGGCAGAGCTCTCCTAGCACCATGGTCGGCAAACTGCAGCTCCTGAGCCAAATGCGGCTCTTTGGCCCCTTGAGTGTGGCTCTTCCTAAGCCTTAGGAGTACCCTAATTAAGTTAATAACAATGTACCTACCTATATAGTTTAAGTTTAAAAAACTTGGCTCTCAAAAGAAATTTCAGTCGTTGTACTGTTGATATTGGGCTCTGTTGACTAATGAGTTTGCCGACCACTGTCCTAGCTTAACTAAGCCTGACCTTGTAGCCCTCCCTAATTCCTTCCTTCCAAACCTAAGTGATGCCAAGACAAGAACATTTGTATGCATGTTAATCTGCCCTTGTTTTTTGAATCAGACTGTAAAATAAAGCATCAGCTTGCAGGCTGGGCCTTTTGTGTCCTCTTCCAGGCATGGGAGATACATACACCAAGCCCCAGCTGTATTCTCTTTGTCTTTTCTTCAATCCTTCACCGCCCCTCCTCAGGCTCACCCTTGGCTGCGCTGGCCATGGCACAACAATGAATGACATCCACAAATGGACCCTTTGTACAACCTAAGAACATTCAGCAAAATAAGTCAAACCCACCCCCCTACGGACACATGGGGGGAGGGGGGCGTAAAAATCCTAAAAAGAAATTGGAATAGAAAACATCCAAGTGTTAAGAGTGACCTCACTTTAACCACTTCTTGAGCTGTTTATAAAGGAGTTTAGGACAGTGCCCGGCACATGACTAATATTTTTTTTCTTATTCACAAATATTTCATTGCAAGTAATGCGTAGATGAGATAATTATGAATGTTCCTGGGTATCGTGTGACGGGAATTTTTCCTTCCTCTGAGCACCGTTTTAGCATGATCTGTCATATTTTATTGCATGAATGGCCCCGGATTTCCTCAACCCTTTCCCCGCTGTTGGTCACAGATTTTGAACAAAATCATCTAAAATGTCCCCAAGGGTTAAGCCTCTGCTTCTAAATCTTTTGGGGCCTTGCAACTCTTGGTGAATGTCATGGAACAAGATTTCAGCCTAGATTAAAAAAAAAAAAAAAAAGACTCCATGCAAAACACCCGCAAGCAATTTCAGGGGTGGGGACCCCTCCACACCCACCTAAGGGGTCTGTGGCCCGGGTGATGAGCTGTGACGCAGAAAGGGAACGCCGGCCCGGCGTGCGTCGCGGGGGCCGATGGGAAATGTAGTCCGGAGCCCGAGAAGCCGCAGACCGATGCTAAGGCGAGACGCTCCGGTTCCCCCCAGGCCCAAGACCCGCCCGGCCGCGGCGCCCACTCTCGCACGGGCCCCGGAGCGCGCGGGAAACTCCGGATCCCCTCACCTGCCGCCTTCTCGGGTCCGAGTGCCACCGAGACTGCGCCCCCCCTCGCTGTCCCAGGTGAGCTTTCTCGTCGGTACTGGCGAACTCGTCGCCTGGAGCCGGAAGATGGTGCAGACGCACAAAGCCGCGCCGATGCGGCGTAGCGATTGGGCCGGCGCCGCAGTGTATTCTGGGAAACGTAGTCTTCAGGCTGTAAAGATTGCCGCGCGCCGCGAGGCCCGGTCTCGCGATGCTTCGCAGTGGGCGGTACCCGTGTGCGCCAGTCGGGGGAACCCGACGGGGTGCGTTCTGCGGTGGGAGTTGCTGTGTGAGAGCCGGTGTGTGGAGCGTGCTGTGTGCGTGCGATCGCCTCTGTGGTTGCGGGTGCGAGTGTGTGAGGGGCCGTGACCACGGGTGCGGCGCTGCTTGTGACGGTGTACGTCGTGTTTGGTTCCGACCCGGCGGTTGATTGGGACCGTTCGACGGTTGTGTGTGACGAGTAAAAGAACGTTTGGGCGAAAAAATTGCCTCCGCCATTAAGTCAGCATTTCCGTGGAGCAGCCATGACCCCCGAAGGCTTGGAGGGAGGAAAAAGGCCCAAGGAGTTTGTCTGATAACCGATTGTAAGCATGTGATCTGTGTTGGAATAAATGTCGATCATGGGGATGCCAGATCGGCAAAAAACGTTTTACACGAGACGTCGAGGAGTTTTCTGTTACGGGGTGACCTCTCGGCCGAGTCCCCTAACGCCCTCGGCAGCTCACATCTGCGTGGAAGCGAGGGGAGCCCTGGATCCGCACATCCCGAGCGGCGTGGTCCCTGTGGCTGGGTGTCCCCGGGTCCTGGATGCTCTGATCCCTTTCTGTGGCCGGGTGCCCCCGGGTCCTCGATGCGCGTCAGGCCCCCGTGGTGATGCCTGGTCCCTCCCTGTGGCCGGGTGCCCCTGGGTCCTGGATGCCCCGGCCCCGTGATGCCTGGTCCCTCCCTGAATGGGGAAAGACAGTGGGGAAAACAGCACCGGGGGGGGAATCCACGCTTCCAGCGCGGACGGTGTCATTGGACAGAAGTTGCTCTAAACAAAAAACCAGGTAATGGGGTCCAGCCGCCCTGGCTCAGGGGTTGAGTGTCCACCTAGGAACCAGGAGGTCACGGGTTCGATTCCCCATCAGGGCACATGCCCGGGTGGTGGGCTCCATCCCCAGTGCGGGGTGTGCAGGAGGCCGCCAATCCATGATTCTCTCATTGATGTTTCTATGTCTTTCCTCTCCCTTCCTCTCTGACGTCAATAAAAACGTATTTTTAAAAAACTAAATAATGTGTAAGGAACTAGTCTTTGCGGACGCTGGGCAGCGCCGATCCCCGAGAGGAGGGGAATGAACTGCAGTGGCTTTCGGGAGGCATATTCCAGACCTCAAACCGCTGACACCAGCGACACAGTTTGGGGAGCCTGCGGTGCCAGGGATTGGGGGGCAGAGCGGGGACCAGGCCTGTGCCTGTGGCTGGAGGGCGCGCTGCCTCCGCGCTGGGCGGTGGGAGAACCTTCAGAGACAAGACGTGACGTCACAGAGGCCCCCTGGAAACAGCCATGAGGCTGACCTCCGGGCTGGGACCTGGGGGACGGCCCTAGGCCAGTCCAGCAAAGTGGGGGGCACCGCCCGGGCCAGGGGCGCCTGCGCAGTCCGGCCAGCCGCCTCGGCGTGGGCGGGGCCGGGCGGGGGTGGAGGTGGTGTCCCGGGCGAGACCCTGCAAAAGGAGGATGTGGAGGCGCCCCCAGCCTGCGGTCCCAGGATGCACTGCGCCGCGTCCCTCCCTGGACTCCATTTCCCAGCGGTCCCTGCGGCCGGCGCCAGCTGCTCGCCGAGCGCCGCGGTCCCTTTGTGAGTCCGCGGGTCCAGCAACGGCCCGGCCCGCGGAGATGCGGGGCGCCCGGCCTGGGCCCGCCGCGCGGAGGGAGGCGCCCGTCTGCGGGGAGGAGGCGGTGAGCGGTCCCCTGGGGGCGGGGACGGAGCGGGGCCTGGGGTCCCCGTGAGGCTGTGACGAGGCTGTGACGGCGTGAGGGCGCGTGTGTCAGTGTGTGACCGTGTGAACAGGTGGACCCTGTGTGTGTGTCAGTGAGCGTGTGTGTGTGAGTGTGAGGGGGTGACACCCCGTGGGGCGGGGTGACAGTGAGCGTGACAGCGGGCCCGGTGGCCCCTGTGACCCGCGTGAGGGGGACCCGCCTCGGGGCGGGGGGCAGAGAGAGGAGGGGCGATGGGCGTGAGCGGGGAGGACGGGGTGGGGCTGGGGGCGGGGAGGAGCGGGGGCGGGCCTCGGGCTGCACCCCAGGGGCCCGGCTGCGGGACCGCGGCCTCCGGTGCAGAAGGTCCTCCCCCCACCTCCTCCTCCCTCCGCGGGGGAAGGGAGCGGAGCGGGAGGGAGACCTACTGTGCGCTGTTGGAGTGACCGGTGTTGATGGTCACACGGGCGGGCAGGCTCGGTGCTCCGTGAGTCGGTCCCACGCTCCTGCCCGCGGCTGGTGGGGAGCAGGTTGAGGCGGGTCGCCGGCCGCAGGGAGGGGCGGTGCTCACAGGGGTGGGAGGCATTGTGACCCCAAACCCGGTTCTGACCGCTGAGTGAGCGGCCTTACCTTCCAAGGCGGAGGGGTGAGTGGCAAACAACTCTTTTTTAAAAATGAGAGAGGAAGCCCTAGCCGGTGTGGCTCAGTGGATAGAGCGCCGACCTGCGGACTGAAGGGTCCCGGGTTCGATTCCGGTCAAGGGCATGTACCTGGGTTGCGGGCACCTCCCCAGTGGAGGGTGTGCAGGAGGCAGCTGATCGATGTTTCTCTCTCATGGATGTTTCTAACTCTCTATCTCTCCCCCTTCCTCTCTGTAAAAAATCAATAAAGTATATTTTAAAAATAAATTAAAAAATAAAATAAATAAAACAAAGCGCAGGGGGAAAGAGTTGTACGCGTGGGAGCGACTGATTCAGGGAACCCCTCATCTGCGTCTGCGGTGGGGGGCGGGGAGGGGCTGTCCAGGTGACGCAGGGTCCCTTTCTCCCTCCGCAGCTCGCCTTTCCCCAGACGCTGCGCCTCTGCCGGAGAGGAGCCTGAGGGAGGGGCCGGAAGCGCCGCCATCCGTCCTCAGGCTCCGAAAGCCATGTCCCAGGTAAGGAGCATCTCTCCTCCCCTCCCAGGCCTGCGCTGCTTGTCAGGCTGTGTGCGAACAGTCTGGTTTTCTCCTGAGACTCATCAGCCTACCAGCGTCCCCTCCATGAGGGACCTGGCCCTGATATCCTCCAATCCAGTGTCAGGGGGTCCCCCAAAGCCCAGTGAGCATCCCCTTTTTCTCAGCATTTTCATCTTTATCCAAGAAATAGTTCAGTGCTGCCTATGGCTCTCAGGAGGCCACGTGTCCGTGATTATAGTTTGTTTACTGTACACCGAGTGGCCAGGTTATTATGACCACCCCATCAGGACAATGAAGTGGTTGTGCAAAGCTACACTAATAAAAGAGACATGCAAATTGGTGTCACTCTGCTACGCCCACCAGCCAATCAGGATGAGTATGCAAATCAACCCAACAAAGATGGCGGTTACTTTGCATATGCAGGCGTGGAGCAAAGACTGAAGGCTGGCCGGAGTGAAGACTGAAGAGGCTTGGCTTCTCCGCTGCGGCTGGACCAATGGCCTGGGTCCCGGGTGCCGGAGGAAAACCGGTGCCAGCAGCCAGGGGAAGGAAGGCCTATTGCGTGAATCTTCGTGCAATGGGCTTATAATAATAACAATAATAAAACTTTGAGAGTATTTGCTTAGGAAGTTTTCAATATTCAGTATTTTTGGAAGTGTCAGTGAAGTACTGATGGGGTGGTCGTCATAATCTGGCCACTCGGTGTATAATGTAACGATGTGAAATTAGTGAAGAAAGGATGGGTTATGCATTTAGAGAAAAAAAAAATTTCTTCCTGTTCTAGCCAGTTTGGCTCAGTGGATAGTGTCAGCCTGCGGACTGAAGGGTCCCAGGTTCGATTCCGGTCAAGGGCACAGGCCCGGATTGCGGGCTTGATCCCCAGTCGGAGGCGTGCAGGAGGCAGCCGATCCATGATTCTCTCTCATCATGGATGTTTCTATCTCTCTCTCCCTCTCCCTCCCTGAAATCAATAAAAATATATTTAAACATAAATAACTAAATTTCTTCCTTACAATGTATAGGTTAAATGTAAACCATAAAACCATGCAAACTGCTAAGGGAAAACCTAGAGAAGAGGTTGGAAAGAGGAAGCTGGGCCAGAAGCACGAGTCAGCCGTGTCCAGTGGCACTTCCTGGGGTGACCGACTAGAAAGGTGCTCCCCGTGGCTGCGGGGCACTTGTATGTCCTGGCGTGACTGAGGACCTGGACTCTCAATGTTAACTGACTTACATGTAAATAGCGACATGCAGTGAGCAGCTGGTGTGTTGGACAGCACAGATCCAGGCTCATGAAACGGTACAGCCAGGAAGAAAGTGGAGGGCGAGCCTGTCCAAATCTCTCACTGCACAGACGAGGAAAGAGAGCGCCAGGGAGGAAAGCCCGTGTCCCCGTCACTGGTTAGCGACTGTGCGGCTGTAGGGAGCGGTCGTGTGCGCTGAGGGTCAGGAACACGGATGATGGGGCGTGAGGAGCTGAAGAGGGTGGAGGGAGGAGGATACCGTGGAGCCGTGTGCCCACCGTGACGACCGAGCACTCATCTCGTTCCTGTTCCCAGACTGTCCCTGGCCCCCGCTCCACCTGGAATGAGATCCCGGTGTCCTTATCCGGGCCTGCAGGGCCCTCTGTGACCCAGCCCCAGCGCTCCCAGACCTCATCCTGCCCGTGTGCGTCTCCGCTCCAGCCACACTGGCCACTTACTCTTGCTCAGACGTCCTGGGCTCTTCCCTGTCTCCGAATCTTCGCATTCGTTCCCCCTAGATCAGGGATGGCGAACCTATGAACTCATTTTTTTGGTTGATTTTTCTTTGTTAAATGGCATTTAAATATATAAAATAAATATCAAAAATATAAGTCTTTGTTTGACTATGGTTGCAAATATCTATATGTGACACGGCACCAGAGTTAAGTTAGGGTTTTTCAAAATGCTGGCACGCCGAGCTCAAAAGGTTCG